TCCGGAACCCCCGGCCCCCAGTAATCACCCTGTCACCCCAACAAACATCCTGCAGTTCAGCCCCCTCCCTCCCGCGCCCTTCTATGTGCAGCCCCAGAGGGGCAGCTGCGGATCCTCCCCCTGCCCACTGCCTTAGGTCCAGACTGGCTGCTGCTACCTCCCAGGCCGGAGGTCTCCTCCTCGCCCAGCCCCAGAGCCTGCAGGAGGCTGCCGGGCTCCAGCGCTTCAGCCCGGGCTCTGCAGCAGGCGCTCCCGCCGGGCAGGCTGCCGCCGCGTGAGCGGGGAGGCGGGCGGTGTGGGAGGCTGCGGAGGCAGAACCTAGGTCGGGTCGGGGGGCCAGCCCTGCCCCGCTTACCTTAGCTGCGGCTCGTGGCACGGCACTGCCCGGGGTGGGGGTGGCTCCAGCGTCCCTGCTCCTCGCTGGAGCCACGAGCGGGGTGGGGCAGCATCTTCCTCGTGCTGCAAAGTGCACGGGGGGGGACCCTGGGAGGGGGGAAGTACCCGGGAGAGCAGCCCCGGAGCCTTGTCCCGATCCCGACCTGCCCCACGGGCGGCTCAGCGGGGCAGGGGCGCGCTCTGCCCGCGGGGCACACGATGGGCGGGGGGCAGGGAGGGACACCCCGACATCAGCCCTCGCCCGGCTCTGTCCCGGGCCGGGCTCTCACCTGCGCATCAGAGCAGGAGGTTCCCGAGCAGCGCGGCCAGGGGACGCTCCATGGCGGGGCAGGGGCAGCGGAGCGAGGTCAGCACAGGTGAATGGCCTGTGGCGCCCGTCACTTCCAGCTGGCCACAGACAGCCCCCTACCCCCGGGGACACACACAGCACAGGCACTGCCCTCCTCCCCTCCCCCCGGGAGACACCCACCCACCCACCACAGGTGCTGTCCCCTCCTCTGCCCCCCCGGACACACAGCACAGGCACTGCCCCCTTCTCTCCTCCCCAGGAACACACATACACACAGCACAGGCACTGCCCCCTCCTCTTCCCCCTGGACACAGAGCGCAGGCACTGCCACCCCCCGCCCCCCGCCCCCAGACACACAGCATAGGCACTGCCCTCCTCCCCCCGCCCCGGACACACAGCACTAGCACTACTGCCCCCTCCTTGAGTCCCTTCCCTCCTCCCCCGCAGGATACAGGTGCTGCCCACTCCCCACTCCCCCAGGGACACACACAGCACAGGCACTGCCTCCTCTCCTTTGCCCCCCCCCAGCCCAAAATGTAGCAGACTATCAGCAAACTAGCCCAAAATATTGCAACCCATGACTCCTCATAAAAACCCCAAACAAACAAACAAAACCTTGCAACTGGTATTTTAAAATTGCCCAATTCCACAGGAAAATGGCAAACTTGGCAACACCGCCATGTGTCCTCCAAGCAGAAAGGCAGGCCGCTCGTGAGGCAGCTGGGCACCAGCAGAGACTGCCACACACATGGCAGAAATAGGCAGGCGGGCCAGTAGTCACCACCATGTCCCTTCCCGAGGCAATCAGCATGATGGGACTGGAATGTGAGTGTCTTGCGAGTGTGAGCCTGGGCACAGGGAGGCTGCAGAAGAATTTGCACTGGGCAGCAGATTTGCTTGCTGTCTGAAATGTTTGAGCCCTTCCAAAGTTTGGGGCTTGCATGCTGTGCCCAAGAACAATTTTAATGCCCAAAGTCAGGGTCGATATTTGGATGGTTTAGACACAAATCCTGCAGCTTGGCAGGAGGTTAGACTAGATGACCCTTGTTGTCCCTTCTAACTCATGGTTCTATGATTCTATGAAAAGAAGAAGCCATGTATTGCTATGTATGCCTTATCACCCACACCACTACAACTATACTGCATACATTTCCCTATTATGGTTTATTGTTTGCTGAGTATTGACAATAGGCTTGAAACTTTATAAAGCACTTAATAAAATATATAGGGCTGCTCCTGCAAGTCCTTCCTGCACCAAACTCTAGTATATTTTTAATGACATTTAGTACACCTCTACCCCGATATAACGCGGCCCGATATAACACGAATTTGGATATAACGCAGTAAAGCAGCGCTCCGGGGGGGGGGGAGAGGGGGCGGGGCTGCGCACTCCGGTGGATCAAAGCAAGTTCGATATAATGCGGTTTCACCTATAACGCGGTAAGATTTTGTGGCTCCTGAGGAATGCGTTATATCGGGGTAGAGGTGTATTTAATAGGTATGTGGTGTAACTAGAGACTTC